CTATTGTGGAAACTATGTGAAATCATATTTTGACACACGGAACAATCTTTGAAAAGAAACAACTTGCACTTTGGAAATGCCATGTTGGGAACCTCTCCATTTGCCTATCTTCTTACTTGTGTTTCATCAGCTAAAACAGAAGCAGAGGTGGCCTCTTAGACCTGCCTTAGAAAGGTAAACCTGAGAAGCAAGTGTTCAAATGCCTACTGAAAATTTCCTTCTGGAACTCAGTAAAATACCCTTAAAAATTAGACTTTGGATTGTATCATTGTTTTTTTAGGTGACATTATGTAACTTCCCCCTCTGCTTACCCTGGTAGAATAAAATATAATGAATATTTTAAAATAATTTTAATTAGATACTTGATGAAAGCAACATCAAAAATCTTAATATAAAGGCTACATAAGAAGCTACTATATAAAATGTGCATATAAAGTGTGCATAAATTTCAGCTTCTGCACTCTAATTTCACAAGCTTTTAAAAATGGTTCTGTAACATAAGTATTAACAGAAAATACAGTAAGAAGAAGTAGAAAGAGGCATTTTTAGAGAATCAACTCACAGCTTAGCCAAGAACTGAGAGCCTAGCAGGCTGCTGAACTACAGACTTGCTGTGAAGAATCTCTTCTTGTCAGAGACTAAAGTGAATAGCGAAGAATTTAAAATGAGTACTCTTGTCTTAGAAGGGAATATCCTGTCACAGTCATTAGCGTTATTAATTCTGATATCCTCTTGCCATGATACCATGAATTAATGGTGGGATCATTAAATACTTCCATCACTCAGTTTTCTGAGTTTTCTCCCTCATTGAAGAAAAAATGAATGAAAAAAGAAAAGACAAAATGATACTGCTGTGCAGCAACAAACACTTAACGTGGCATACTGTATTGCCAAAGCTACATCAGAACTTTACACAAGGGACAGATTTGACTATTTATTTGATAGCAATGGGAGGATGCTATTCCTTCTGATATTTAACCTCAGGAGTAAATACCAGTTCTAACAGTTCCAGTACTTGCAATAAAGAAGCACAGCTGGATCGTGCTCATCCTTAAAGTCAGAATTTGCCAACATCTGCCACTGAAAGGCCATTTCTGCTCACACATAGAGTGATGTCAGCTGTCTAAATTATCATGCCTCACAGTAATAAATTTAGTTAATGTGTGAACACATTAACTGACACTGGTCTATAGCAAATTCAAGCTGATGTAATCTATCGGGTTGAACTCTTGCCATATTACTTGAATTTGCTACACACTAAGAGTATACTGACAGATTGCTACCCTAACTAAGCTGATGTATGGTAACCTAGTAACCCATGGTAATTTCAACTGTGTGTCTGAATTCACAGAATAGGAAGGAATTTAGAAATGCTGCTTTATGAAAGGAGACCACTAAATCAGTAATGGTTCCTTTGTTTAATGGCATGCCCAGATCTTTTCATATTTTACTTGAGCATTATTACAATTTAGAGCCAATTAAGAAATACTTAATATGTACCTCATTAAATCTGGAACAAAGCTCAATAAATACAAATTTCCTGATGTATGTGCTCTGTAGATGAAAGACTTACTCTCCATAGTATCCTGAGAGGAGATCGGTAGCCTTTGAAACAGCTGTCCAGAAATTCAGAGAAGGATGACTGTCCTACCTGAAATGACAGATTCGAAATCAAGAGAGCCAGGTAACTATAAATCCCTTTGTCAACATTCTTGGCTAGCAACTCTGTAGATGAAAGAGACCACCTGCAGTTGAAGTATTGGAAGATGAGGGATTACCTGGCTATGAATATTTCAAGCTAATATATTTAACTAACAAACTCACATACAAGAAGTTGTTTCAGAATAAAGCGCTCTACAGAATGTTCCTTGGCTTATTCCTACGCACACTCGTGAACACAAGTCGGCACGTACTTTACAGACCTGAGAAGTCCCTGGAGGCACTACTGAACAGGCACTGAAGTTCTTACGCCATATGCTCTTCATATTAGAACAAGTGGTAGAACAGAGAAAGATCTCCAGGTCGACATGTTTTTGAAATCCAGATTGCCATACCAGGCCATAGTCCCACAAAGGCTTCTTAAAGAGTCAAGGTCTGAGTGATTAACTAACCCAGACCAATCAGCAGATCCAAATATCTGCATTAGATACAATCAAATGACATGTAACAACAAGTATTTTTTTTTCTACTAGTTTGGGGATCCCACAGAAGGTGCAAGGTCATGTAGATCATTTAGTTTCTTCTCCTGATTCACACAAGATAGAGAATTTCACCTTGAATAAAGTATGGCAATACATCAGAAATATCACTAGTGTATAACGGACGGAGAATCAAAATGAGATTAACCGGTCTCAAAACTGCCAGAGCTTGCGCAGCTCTGTTCTCTGCAGATGCTGTCTGAGATTCTGGGATTAGCAGAGACTGAAAGCACAGGCATGCTGAATAACTTGCAAGTTTACTAACAGTGAACTGAGAAAGAGTATTTCACGTCAAAATTATTATTTATGGCTGTCATTTCTGAACCTGCTGATGGCGGACATCTTGTTCAAATGAGACTAAGGGAAAAGAGAGGAAGGGGAGCAATAATCAAATAGTGGGAGTACCTAATATGCTTAAGCGCCTTCTGTCACTACTGGGGAGAGATGAGCTCCTGTGCATTAGTTCTGGCATAAGTGAGGCTTCAGGGGGCAGCTGAGCCTGCTCAAGAGCCGTCTGACAGCAAAAAGGTCCTGCTGTGTCCCTACACTCCCACCCGCATGGCCTCACTCCCTCCTTTGCTCTGACTCTGAAATTCCCCGGGCTCTGCTGGCACAGGCCAACTCCCTCGTTTTGCTGCCATGTTAGTTTGCAGCTGGCTCAGTTTGCCGAAACGCCTCAGTGTGGAATCGGGCAAGGGCCAGAGATGGCACAAAGGAAGGGGTGGAGGGCAAGGACAGTACCGCACTGCATAACCAGCCCTTGCAGCCTAAGTCGCTGGGCAGGTGCAGCCCAGATTAAGCAGCTCAGGCAATATGAGTATCCCACCATGCTGCCTTCCTTCAGACTGTAAACAAAGCAATTTTAAGTGTGCTTTACTATGCTGCGAGCATGATGGTGTTGATTCATAGGCACACAAACTCACTAACAGACACTAAACGGAACTACATACTGCCCCACTCTGGGAGCAGAAGTAACCAACTCTAGGCAGCAGTGGGTCCTAAAGGAAAATGCAATATTAAAGATTCAGAGAAGAAAAAAGAAGAAAAGCGGACAAGAAGGCTTTAATCTAACAGTGCTGTGAACTAGCCATCTGCAAGGACTCTGTCAGCCTCTGCAGAGGTACAGTGGAACTATTAGCACATTGTCAGTGTTTCTATCTTTAGAAAACTATTTAATCCCAGTATTCACTCCACAGTGCATGACAGCACTGGAGGCCAAGAAACCCTAAAAATGATTATTCTTCATATTAAGTAAGGGGAACTGAAAAGCTCTTCCTAACCTTTGGTCAAGAATACTTAATCAAAAACGGACTTGGCTTCGTCTTGCAAAAACGTTACAAACATTTCAAAGCCTTCGTACAAAATTAATTTATTCATCGTTAACCTGGCAGAGATGTAAAATAAACCAGAAATAATTTATTCAGCTATCAGAGAAAAAATGCTTTACCACAGTGACCATAATTCAGCAAGTTTTGATCAAGCTAACAGTACCCTGTCACACAGAAACACTGCTATTAGCATGCCCAGCCCAGCACAAATTAACAAAAACGAGTCACCAAGCACACAGCAGCAGTAATTATAATAAAACCAAGTACAAGATCTGCACTCCTGTGAAGTGAAGTGGATGCAACTGGCATCACATAACTCCATGGCTGGAGCAAGGACTGAGAAAGCTACATTAAAAATAGGTTCTTAATCTAACATCTAAGAGAGCGTATTTTTATACTATGAGGAATTAAGACTATTTGTAGGAAAGGTTAACAATTTATCCCTGCATTTCTTGTCAGTCCCGTGCTCCACATAAATCACAGAGAGCTTTAAGAGCACAAAGGATCAGGTCTTTAGGTCAATGGCAAGTTTAAATTTCTCTGAAACACAGCATTAAAAAATCAGAGTGCCTGTTCATGTTACAGAGCTTTCCATTTGCTCTCATTTGTGACCGACATATCAAACTCCTTTAGTTAAGGCCCCTTATTATCAAGGAAACTAGAATAGGTTTCTTCTTTCTAGCTAAACCTCTCTCAAACACATTCCAATAGACCTTCCGGCTACTAATACACGTGAGTTATAAGTAACATAGCTGCACAGAGATAGTCCAGACATGCAGTTAACTTCAGCTCCTTGTGGTGTGACATGGTACACTCTATACATTTACTCACTGAGATAATGCAATATGGTGCTAGCTATCAAATCCCTTTGCAAAAAGTGGCTATCGACTGCAAGTGAATTTTATTTTCTCCTCTCCACATCTGCTACTTACATAAGACCAAGTTCTGCCACTTTACTCATGCTGAGTAGTTCATCAAATTTAATCTGAGCAGTGAACAATACTCTTTGCATCACCTCTAAGTACATGCAAGATCATCTCAATCTCTAAAATATGTATGAATTTATTGGAGACAAATAATCTGAGATCACGTAGCTAGTCCAAAGGCAACAGTCTTCATGGCATGTGTTTGTGCAGTATGTGGTATACGGCTACATGGCTGAGTGGTCTTGTCACATTGGGCACTGTTTCTACTCCTATGCAAAGGCAAGAGTATAGGGCTCTTAAAAGATTGGTCCAGGGTCTTCTTTAACTGTCCAGTTGCAGTTACAATGTCTGCACTACTAACCTATAATGAAACTGTGACTAGTGCTTCTTACACCTTACATCAATACTGTATGCTGTGCAGTGACAGGTATCAGGCAGAAAGCCTCAAGGAAAATGGACCTCTTAACTGGATGCAACATCTACACTGACATATTAAATGTGACAGAAAATATTCTCTGGCACAGAGGCGGATGCAACATCTACACTGACATATTAATGTCAGTGAAAATGTGTATTTTCTGTCACAGTGTAATGTGACAGAAAATATTCTCCGGCACAGAGGTCAACTAGGTTCATCTATGTTAGCAAATCCCTCCTTGCTTCCAAAACAAAATGGTAGTTTTGACTCTAAAACCATTTAATGGGAATGGTGCCTGGGCCAGTTTAATTCCCAAACTTTGCTGCACATTGTTGGAGGGGGGAGGGAGGGGGGCTAGTGGGCATGGGTACGACGCCTGCCAGAAACCTTCTGACAGTTTAACAAAACAGCTGAGCATGTGCCAGTGCCTAGGAGCACTACTGGACACCATTTAATCGAGTGCTATAGAGATAGCGTTAAGTCTCTGGGACATACCTCCAAGGGATAACATGAAAGCAGTTCAGATTTTGCTCAGTCAGTTAGCTGTAGGAAGGAATTCAAAAGGTAACTGGAAATTTCCTGGAATGATTAATTCACCTTGTAGTAGGTAAATTCATCAGCCTTTACTTCCTAGAGTGTTCACATATCACTAAAATGAAAATCATGTGGCATTAATATCTCTTTAGGCTGAGCTCAAGAAGGTGGGAGCTCACCAGGACAGAAGAAAATAAATGGCTGGGGGAGGGAATGAAAAATATTTATGGAGATCTTTATGTCACATGCCCTCTGAGGTAATGCGCCAAAAGCTGAAGAAAACACAGTGAGAAGGAAGAAATGCTACACAGTCACGACTCTCTCATTGCATTGCATTAGTCTAGAGCTGGAATAAGTTATAGTCCCTGCCTGAACACAGTTGTGTCTTTGATTGGATGAAGCATGAGGTGCTTCTCCTCAGCCCAGGAGTCTGTGTTTGCCTCACCCAAAGGACACACAACCTCCCGCTACAAACACTCAGGGATAGTCTACATTAATGACTTAGCGTGCACAAGGGGCTCTTTTTGGTACACGTTTGGCTTTGATTTATAATTGAGGTGTGACAGTAGGCACTCACGTGCACAACGTTGTTTCCCTCCTGGTGGAACCAGGACTGACATCACGCCGTGGGCCATCCTCCTCACCACTCCACTGGAAACATGGGTGCAAGTTCTTCCAGCAGCCTGCCCTGCACGTGAGCACTGCCCCAGGCCTGGGCCAGAAACTGGTATGAGCTTCACTGCTGGTGAAGATAAAACACGGACGTGTGGTGCTGGAACTATAGCAGATTATGGCAAATCAAACTCTTGCACTGGCCTCTCTTAGTCACCAGCTGGTAAGGCAGATGTACTCCTGGTCTCAATGATGAGGTTTTTGTTTCTGTTAAAAGCCCTGCTGACACTCAGAGGCCCATGTTCTCTAAGTGGTGGCATCCAATCCTCTAAAGCATCACCTTTTTTTTTTTTTTATAAACTTTATTTTGCAACAAATTGACTTTATTGCTAATATATACAGCCAGGACTTATGGACCCTTTTTCTTGGGTACAAGCAGTATTAGGTTCCGATATCACTACCTTGGAAATGAATCAAAATGCTGAACATGTTTCAAGTAACAGACCTAGAACCATAACAATTGATTCTAATATTTTTAGGATTATTTATATGATTATAAAACTGCTACAAGATAAGCTTTCAAATATTACAGCAATACAGAAATGCTCTTATAAAGTATCAGTTTAAAAATCTATTTTATAAGGTCCAGTTCATTTAATTAGGATTTTTTTTTTCAACAGTCTATCCTCAATGACAGGAATATCGAATGCTTTTTAAACTTCAGCTGAGTAGGGAGCTACAGCGGTAAGAGGACTTTTGGTAAACAAAATACCTTATATTTTATTTGACTCTACAAGAAGGATAAGAAGGATACTCTATCTTTGAACTGATCATTCAATACCCTCAAAAAAGACATCAAAATTCTTCTTATAACAGAGACTGGTTGTTATCATTTTGAGGGATTTTCTGCAGTAAAACATATGAGTAATAATAACAAGTAGCCATCGCTAGAGAAACAACTGCTTGCCCTGGCTCCCATAAATGTTACTGTGATTATTTCCACTGGGGCTGATATTTCATTTTCTCTTGTTGCAGTATGTTGCCCAGGAGTATGTATGCACAGGTATTCCAGGACAATAGGGAAACTTTAAGCACTAGAACTGCATGGGGTTTAAGTGACCATAGGTTCTTTTATCATATGCCCTGGTATAGGAGAAGAGTTTGGAGCTGATTATAAGAGGAACTCCCTTCTAACAATGCTTAGTGCAGTTTCCTTATCTGTAGTCACATATCAGTAGGTGTTATGTCAGGTGAGAAATAGAAAAAATGATAGGGATGACATAGTTCATTTATCTAGTGCCTGGTCCAGCTTATATGTAGGCTGAGATATGGATCTGGGATGGGAGGGATGCGTGCAAAGTCATGCCCTACTGGCACTCCAGGAATTGTAGCACAAAACCTAGCTTATGGTTCTCATTTGGAGCTCAACTGCACCTTAGACAGGAACACAAGCAGTAAGAGGGTTTAAAAATAATTATACGGCCCTGGTCCTTCAAACATTTGTTCACAAAATTAACATCATTCCCATGAGTGATCCCATTAAATCTACAGCATTATCTATTGGCCATAAACTTAAAGCACATAAACTATTTCACTATCATTAACCCGGGGGGATTTTTTCATCTATGCACCCTGGGACACTAAAAATGATTTAGCTTTGAATTAATTACTCCACTATAGCTCTTTTCATCACCTTTCTCATCTAGACAAGCCTTAGTGTTTATACAGTCAAGTTCTTAATTGAAAATGTTCGCTACCAGCTCATCCAGTTACCACACAAGTGACTATTGCCTGTATTACATGACATTAACAAAAATAGAGATCTTATGTCAAAATATTTTAATGATTATAATTTAAGAAGCAAAACATGATGAATGTCACCTATTGCCACCATCCTGAGATTGTGCTTTGCTAAGATTAAATCAATAGTCAGGAGTTTCTAAATTTCCCAAATATATGTTATTTTGCATTAAAAAAACTGATCAGTCAAAATTCAGAAATGTAGCAATCACTATGTCAAAAATCAATTTCTTTTCTTCCCAAATGTAAAATATTCCTCTGTATTGTAGTAATGCAGTTTAACGCTCACAAAATCACATCAGATCAAATCCAATACCAAACTGCTGAGATACACACAAATTTTCTCCTCAGGATCATCATCCTGAAATTAAAATAATAAAACATGTTACTGACATTTCTTGTATAGTAGGAAAACTGCTTGTTATATTCAAAATAAACCAGAGGTTAGGCCTTTGCGTATGCACTTCACCTTCTGCATCTGCTTTTTCAGCCTCATTTCAGACTGAAGTCTGTCTGTGACATTTCTTATACAGTATCATAGGCACACCAAATTCTCCAGGGTGGGCAGGATTGCTAGTGACTGATCTAGCTCGAGCATCTGTTCTTTGTAAGGGAGGACTCCTTCTTTGAATACCCCAGAACTGCTCATACTTACCCCAGCTGCACCACCCTCTTCAGTTTTCCTAAGCTAAACAAGGCTGGGTCTAACCAGCATCTGGATGGAACACATTCACTGTAAACCTGAATATAAATATATTTCATATGAGATTATCATAATCACTTTTTAAAACATGTAGGGAGTGAAATGCTTCTATTTCTTCAGCAGGCTAATTCCTTCTTGGAAAACAAAATAAAAAACAACTGTAAATATTTTTCATTTGATTTAAAATTTCATATCCGTTTTTCTATTCTGAGTGTTTTTAGCTAAACAGAAACAACTTATCTCCACTTGCTTTGTCTCTGACATTATTCTTAACACCTAACTTTTAGTTCTGTGGCCGAATACACGAGCAAAGAGAAGTGTTTGGTTAACAGCTATACTGCTTGGGTACTACAGCAGAAGACCTTTCTTTCAACTTTGGATACATCTAATAAATTCAGGCTGGATAATACTGGCCCAAGTCAAGAACAGGCAGAAACTTGGCTGCTGGACAGGAATCCAGAGTGTCTTTATTTTCAAAATGTTGTATCATTTTTCTCAAGGTAATTAAAGGTAAATTGTGGGACAGTACATACTACCCTAGATACAGTGCGACAGCACAAGCATAAGAGTATTCTAGCAGAAGTTAAGCTCGTGCTGGTATCCTATTGCTATAAATAACTTATTCACTTTTCCAGCAATTTTCAATACAAAAAAATATACATACACCGACAGAGTTTGGAACAACACGATTCGCTTTGACAGTAATTCCTGAGGGAGTAAACAGGCAGCCACCTGCTCCACACAATGCCACCCTGCTAGCTCCACCTTGGCTGGAGGGCTGCACTGCTTCTCTTCTGTCAGACATAGGTCTTCTTTTATCCATGAGGTTGGAGTTTAATAGCTCAGATCTAATTTTTACTCTGCAGGTAACATACACTCACACTCAGGCTGAGGTTCAGCAATTCTTACTCACTAACCATCAGCACATCTCTTCGCAGCCTCTCCTCCTTCAGTGCTTTGTGCTCTGATGACTGAGCGATATTCTCCGCATCAACCTTAGAGAATCTCAGTTTTGTTTCTGTCTACTCCCTCCTCCGAGCAGCTGCTTAAGGCTGCTGCGCTGGATGTCAAGGCAATGTATCCTCATCTTCCCTGCTGCCTCTTCCTAGCAGGCATAAAACCTGAAAAAAACTTGGCAGATAATATTTGCATTTCCACCAGGCTTCTGGGCAATCAGATTTTTGCCAGACTGATTAATCTATCATCTGACCTTTTTTCTAATAATTTTTTTCTACCTATTTTTAAATATGAATCAGGCCATTTCCCCTCCTTGAGCCTATGTTTACTTGAAGCTAATGACATGCTTTTCAGGATTATCAGGTTAAACCAATGAGCAAACAAGACTTCCTTCAGCTGCAGGACCACTGCAGAAATGACCCTGTAATTTAATACAAAATAATATAGATCATTGTTACATTTTAAAATTTGGCTGATGTCTCATTTTCGCACACTCTGTGATAGGTTTGCATCTACTTCAGCGAAGACATGTGTCTCTGTTGAGCACAATCATACCATGCAAGAGTGGATATTAAGGCAAGTGGAGTTTCCCACACCGCGCAGAACCAACTCTGCAGGACTCCTGTTTCTGCCAATTCCCTCTCTCCAATGAGCCAGGGTCACCTCTGCAATGGCACGGATGGAGTTTATGAGCAACACTGCCAAAATGATTCCTTAGGAGGCAGCCATGCTCCTCCTTGTGGTGTTCCAGTACCTGCTACCTGCCTGCAGCACACAGGGGCTTGCAGCAGATCAGCTTCACTCACATCTTCTTTACAGCAGCAAACTTTTGGGGGCCAGAGATGTGTGAAGAAAGGTTTGCCTGAGACTTTTGTGGGGACCCAGTGCTATAAGGAACCTTCCTCAACTACCCACCTAACAGGGGACAGGGAGAAAAACCGAAACGGGCAACTAAAAAGAAAAATGAGATTGTTCAATTTTTAGAAAAGGCCATCTTCACTGAAATATAGCTATTACAGAATTTCAATTATCTTTGATAGTTAATGATAGTAGCAGAATGGTAGCTCACACTGATAGCATTTCATTTCTTTGATTTTAAAGGGCTAACTTTCTTCTTAAATATAAGTGATAAACATAGTGGAAAAAAGTCTTAGGCAGCACAAGTTATCTTTCTACTTGTTTTTTTCCTTACACCTTATTTTGCAAATTTGGCCACAGAAGTGATCTTCAGTCTGCCAAGCACAGACAGCATTTAATTAACCTGTACAGATGCTTAAACATTTTTGTGGCTTCTATCTGCTTCCTTATGGATGAAAAATTCATAAACGGTTATCTTAGCTAGTGTAGTTCCTACAATTAAAATTACATGGTAAAACTCCAGGGATTAATATTATAGGAAGAATACATACAAGGGAAACTGTAGGATGCAAACAGCTTAGCAGCTAAGCATACTAGCAAGAAATACATTATGTATTTCTTAACCTTTCCAATGTGCTACAACCTCTTACAGGCAAAAAAAGTGTAAGTTAGCCACATGAAACTGTATATACATACACCTCCTTCTATGTAATTTCCTGCCATAGACTAGGGGAATGGATTCACTAAATGGCCTCTAAGTCCCTTCTAACCTTGCTTTCTATTATTCTAACAATGCTTGTAAGCAGTATCCTTTTCTATTTCTTGGAAAAACCTGAAATGGAATAAAATTATGCCTTCCTGGCATTAGCAACCTGATAGTTTATGAATTAGCCGTTTCTGATTATGAATCAACTATGAAGTGTATCTTCAATAGCATATTTTCTAAATACAATCAAAGGCTATTTTCAAATACACTTCATAAGCTAACCAGAAGAAAAATCCTTCTTAGCTTCTGAACTTAAAATTTCAGACTTGAGTAAGCTGATGCTATTTGTATATATTTAACTTGAGACATACAGTCATAAGATTACATCAGTGCAATTAAAGCACTATACAATAGTAGCAGTATGATACAATTCACTTCTTGTTGCATTAACTTGCCCCCCCTGGAAACACAGAGCTCTGGAAGGCAAATCCGAAGAGAGCATTCTGAACCGGGAATCTTTGAGTTACCTTAGAAGAGGAATAACTCACCATACAAACAGATCTTATTTTGCCAACAAGGCCAGTCAAGCTGGAAAATACGCAAACCAATCCTTCCAAAGTCATCTGTGATCCATACCCAGTGAGCTGGCTCAAGGCCAGGGGCCAGACTGTGCTACGTTTCTTTGAGGCAATACACAGAAGGTAGAGCTACAAGGGGGATGGCAGAGTGTGAAAGGATGAGGGAGAGAGAATGACTCTTCATCCTATATTTGTCCAGATTCTGGGCTGCCTCAGGGTAAAGTCCGTAGAAAGATCTGCTGCAGTGTATGGCAGCTTCTTCACGGCTGTCCGCAAGCTGTTGTGCAGTCCCGAGCCGCAAGAGTGCACTGTTCTAACCTTATCCTTGGCTAACGAGAGGGAACAAGGCTGCATATGCATGCTACTCCTTCACAGGGTGAACTGAATCCTTACTTTGTCCTCTGTATACACCTGGAAAGGCCATAGCTGTCCCAGGATTAGGCATCTTCTCTTGTTGATCACAGTCTGTGATCATCTTAAATAAAACAATTCACCAAAGCAGCTGTTTCATGGGAACTGATATCAAACCAAGCACAGGTTAGGAAAGAAAGGTACCTGAGACGAGGAGACATTATTAGCTGACTATGCAGTAACATGTGCTTAGCTATGCCTAGCTATGTCTGAAGTTAACAATTAGAAAACATTTCTCAACTCTGTGTTACTTTACTTTTATTCAGTAAACACCATCTTTCACTTATTTATGGATATAACTTTCATTGATTCTAGGGAAGAAATGTCTCTGTAAGGAAGAACAGACCCAAACTGCAAAAATGTTTGCCTTGACACATTACTTAAAGACATTTTATGCAGGAAGAATGTGACCTACCTTTTTATTCTGATTCACATTTACCAAACTGCAACTTCAAAATGCCTTTGCCATGAAGTTGAAGGATTTGGTTGTATTCTTTGGGCATTGCATGGAAACCTGGTTTAGGCAGCTGGTTGTCATAATAGTGGTGGCTAATTGGCATCTTCTCTGCGGATTTTGAGAAAGGCCAGAAGCCATATAGCTTCACATTCTCACACAGCTCAACAGCAGCACTAGTGATCATAAAACCAGATGACAATCGGTAGGCTTTCACACCCTTAGTTCTCCAGAACTGGGCAAGACTTTTCAGGTAAGTGGGGTGGAAAAATATTGCCCTTTGTGTTGCTTTGAACTCTTGAAGAGTTTGATATACTTTAAAAGAAGTAGCTGTGTTGCTTCTGAAGGAAAATGCTGGCAATAAAAGGAAAGCATCTCCATAGACTGCAATGTTCTCCAGAAATTCTGTCTTCTTTTCGTTTAGTTTGTTGTATCTGGCAAATATAACATTTTAGGAAAAGAGTGAAAAAAATGTACTATTGCCAGAAATATACTACAGACCAAAACAGCATGACCATGCATTCATATAATTTGTGAACTTGGCTCAACTGCACCAGTTCAGCCTGTCTACATTGCAAATGTATATCAACCTGTTACATGTTGTCATATTTCCATATTATGAAAATCTGACTCTACTATATAATAACAGCACACCTTATAGTATTGATTTGGTAACGCAGGAGGTACTAGAGGAAATCAGATCCACTGCTAATGAGACCAGGACCTGTTTTCAGAGAGGATCAACTCAAGAAGTTTCACAGAATGCAAAAAAAATCATATTCATACTTTCTCTGTTTAAAAATACATGCACTATGGTATGTATTGTATGTGTTTTTGAAAACTGTTTCTTACATGAATATGTATATGATATGGAAATAGGAGTACTCACTCCTGCATCTGAGCAGTCTTGGAGAGTAAAAGATCAGCATGTGTTCAAGTTTTGCAGGATCTTAGCTGTTTTTGATAGACTTTTTAAATAGCTGCAAATCTTGACATGCGTATTTATCTCCCTTGACTTCAAAGGGAACCTGCGGATACCTCCCAAGACTTAGAGGTCTGACTTCACAAAGACAATGAATCCTACTCTCAGATATTTCAGTTCCCCAGCAGTTAACAGAAAGACTCAGTTCTCTCTATTGGATAATTCAGTGATCCCAAATATTGACTAGTGAATTTTCCAGAGCTATCCCAGAAGCAATTCAAGTCACAAGGGTGTCACTCAACTCATGTCCTCTATAGACCCTAGGTGTCTGAATCACCTGAACGTACGCTGCTTACACCCACTTTGGGATTCAAAGAATGAGTCCTTTTTTTATAGCTAGTTGTCTATCTGAGCAGGGTGTTTTCACCTTTCTTTTAAGGGCTATCAGAGCCTACTTTTCACAAAGTAGCCCAATGGTTACAGCAGCAACTGGAAGACCTGGTTTCATCTCTTTTTGCAGCTTGAGCAGATTCAAACCCTCTTCTCAGGCAGCATTCAGTTCAAGATAGAGGACAGCAACCACTGCCATTTCCATTCAAAACCCTCACTGATGGAGGAGTTACCAGTTGCCTCTTGCACAACTGAACTCATGCAAGGAGTGAAAGATATGGGTCCATCTCCCTTCTCAGTCTGAAGGGGTTTAAACTTACAGCTTCTGCTTCCCAGAGAAGTGCGATTACCTCTAGACTCCGAAACAGACTGAATGCGATCCTCTCAGACCCTCCTGTTGAGCCTGGGCCCCTGTACATGCGAGCTACATAGCCAAAGGAAGCACAGGCCTGAGGCCATGGCAAGGGAGGGTGACTGAGGGGTGAACTTCTGGCCTCTACTCCCAGAATTACCTCTACATCTATCAGTGTAAAATGCACAAAGAGTCTTCTGAGCAAAATTCAGACCTCTGCTCTCCCTTCTTAGCTAGAAGCCTGAAGGACTCAGCCTAACTTGGCTTTTCCTTCTAGCTTTGTTACTTTTAGGGGCAGTTTAGACCAACTCCATTAGGACACAAAAGAACTGCACCTCCTCAAGAGCGTTCATCTGCATTGTATGCCCTGTCAGACATGGTTCAAAAGCTGATATAACCTTAACAATAGCATTATCAGACTAAGCCAGAATTAGAAATTAAAGTGATTAAAATCAGAAAACGGTCTTTTGAGAAAGCAAACAAACAAACTCAGCTCTGTTAAATGGCGCCAAGTCACTTCCCCCTCCTCCTTCAAAAGCATTTACAGTTTCCTCTGAATGTTTAAATAATTAAAATATTCAAATTCCAAACTTCTTACACAATCTCATTTCATCCTCACACAGGCTTAGCTCCTACTTTCTTCAGTGTAACTCCTACCAATGCCAGTGTAGCATAATTTGGCTTAGAAGTAAGTGTAGGTGTGACAGGACACCACAATCAAACCCAGAGAAATCATGCATCAGTTCAGTAGTCACCAATGAAGCTGAGTCACTGGACCAAGTTTTCCTTTCTCATTTTCTTGTGCAGCCCCACTAAGGTCAATGAGCTAATTCTATTTTGGGGAGAGGCAACAATTCATCTCCATTTAAGTCAAAAAGGGCTGGGTAAGCATCAAAGCAGTCAGTACTCACTGCAAAAATTCAAGCGCTCTCCTTGAATCAATGACAAACACCTGTTAGTCATTTCTGTGCTTACTGTACTGTTTCCTTCTTGCTTTTGAACTAAAAGAACTTTGCCTGATGTTGTCTATTTGACAAATACAGATACAACAGACAATAACATGCAGTTCGGTCAATAAGGAGTAAATAACCTGCCACAGCAGTCCTTTTCATAGATAAGCTGCAGCTCCAGACTGCTGAAGATGCCAGATTAGTCAGCTTGGCCTTAGTAGATTTTCTTTTCATCAAGGAGTTGAAAAGAAAACTTTGCTGAGAAAAAAGTGGGTGAGCAGCTTTGGTTTGGACTGAGAAAATGAATTACAGAAATCGGGCCTCCATTCAGGACATATTCTTTTTCAGAACACTAATTAAGAACTTGTGTTTACAGTCCTGCTGATAGATTTGGACACACATTTCCAAGCTTTCCTGATTTATGACTATAATTCCCTTTTTTTTTTTTTTTGTCAGAGTTGTGGGGATTTTGTGGGGGGAAGAGGCCTGGACTTGCAGTGATCAATTTTATTCTTTCATAAAGTGTGAATGGGTGCCAGCAGAGGCACCAGCTAATTTGGGTATTGTTGCCTCCTTTCTGTTACAAAAAGGCCAGGTGTAATAGATTTCCATTTAGACTTGTACACCTTTTACATGGGAACTAAGCTCCATTAATGAAGTAATCTGTCTACACCACTCTGTGCTGGTATCCCAAAGGATTTTTAACAAACTCTAAATCATGATACAATATTGCACAGAAAAAGAAATGCAGGACTACTCACTTCTGAGCTATGATACTTGGATTAACAGTCACAAGGTTTGTTTTATTGCCAACATCTTTGCTAATGCTTCCCGTGGTTGGAGGGAGGTTACACCTGAAATTGAGAAACACTTACTTAAATAGAAGCCCACCGGAAATGCCTTGCAGTTATTATTTGCGAATTCTTCTCTTGTGGAATGATATTTTCATGTCAGCTCCCAGAGATCTCTAAGCACTTTACAAGTATTAAATAAGGCTTATAGCACTTCTGGTAAAAATACTTTATCTACTGTACAGATGGTTAAAATACAGCACAGAGAGCTCATTTTCATAAATGAGCTCTCTCAAATCAGATGCAAAGCTAAAATCTCATAAGGAGCCCATCTATGAATTCTCTATGTTATCTGCTAGAAAATATTGCCCCTCTTGCCTAAACAACGCATTTTCCAGAAAGTCTTCTATTATTTTCTGTTTAAAAACAGTATGATTGACACTAGTCCCTCAGCTGGCAGAACAAGGCTGACGGCTGTTTCACGAGGCAACGTAAGTTACCCAATTAGGGAAATAGCAGCTTGGTATAAGGTAAAGTAGGTACTTTTTTTTAAAGTGAGTCACTTACTTAGATTTAGCATCCTAGTATGCAGATTCCTCATTTTTATTAAGGTCAGTTATCTAATTGGAAAGACTTTTTGTAATTTGGAAAGACCAAATATTAGTCAAAAAAAGGAAAAGAGACAAAATCCTGAAGACTGTGTCGTTGGACATCACTGCGAAAAGAATCTTCACTTGGTTACTCTGTTCTGCAGAAACTAGATTCTGAGAGGTGCATGCTGAGAGAGGTGGGCTGAACCACTCTCTGAATATGCCTATTTTTCTCCACAGTCCATAGGGGAAGCTGAAACAACCGCTTAAACGAGAAGCCTAATTTTTAGATGGCTAACGGAAGGTGCCAACAGTAACTGCATTGCTGAGCCAACCTAAAGGTAAGTAAACCCTTTGGTAACCCACAGGTAAATGTACATATATGACATCTAACATCAGTCTTTCATTTTTTTAATTTCAGGGTTTTTTTTAATCTCGTCCTCTAAGCCAAGAAAATGGATGTTTTTAGACAGATGTTAAGTGAACAGAAAATTGACTTTCTCAGATAATCAAGTTCTACATCCATGGCAAGGTATCTTTGCAGTCGTAGGTTATACCTCCTCCCATATATTCCTGTCTCTGCTTAGGAATCAAAGTTTTGAAATCTATGAAGTAGAAAGAGTACCTACCCTCAGAGAGGCAGAAATGAGGAACTATGTCAAAATCTTTTCTCATTGGTACAAACTGGCGCTGGCATGCTTCCAAGTCTGCCAAGCTTTTAAAATCACTCAACACTCTTCAGTTAAGATCAAGCAGCTCTTACCTAAACACAAAGTCAGAACGATCGATTTCAGCCCCACAGCTGGAATTTTTCAGAATGCCTCCATTTCCAACCACTGCACAGTTCTTGAAGGGATAGACTGAAAGAGGAGAGGACTGCAAACAAATAAAAAGACACATCCAATGTTTTATAACTTTTTCAATTGTTTCTTTTTTTTTCTTTTGTACTTCTAGTGGCAAGGAACACAAAGCATGATTTGTGCAATCCCTTTGCGCTTGCAGGTTTAATCCAGTACATCCCAGTGAAAGCATCCACCATTGAGCAGACAGGGTTGCCAGGCCTGGGTAGGCAAGAGCCAAAAATAGTCACCAGCAGATTGAGAACGGCTAGCTCTGTCCTCAGCACTTTGAGGGAATAACATTGGACTGTTAAATTGGATGAATACCTTTTAAGGTTGCTTAACACAAAAATGATTTTGTAGCAGACTGAATTCTCACAGGACTTAGGGACTAACTCTTCCTGAGGATAGTTTAAATTCATCCATTTTACTCTGCATTGTAACAGACTGCGAGTTGTCACATAGTCATTGACTGTATCAGTGGTTAGAAGGTAACTTCGTAAATGATTCTTAATTTGTGATCATTCAATTATATTATAGGTAAAATAATGACTTTAGGGAAACCTGCAAGATGCTGCAATGGACAGTCATGTGTCCTAGCTTAAATTCATAAGAGAATTTCACTGAGAGCTGAAGCAGTTACCATTTCTGGCTGTTCACCCTCTCTACTACTACTCTTTTTAGAGGTTACTGTCCTGCAGTAGAGGAGCTGAATGAGAGCTAAGTGCATCCACTTGTGAACCAGCAGAGATCACAGCCTGGCATATTAATGTAAACTGCTGGCTATTTCAGTTTACATTAATATAGCTGGCTGTTATCCAAGGGTCTCAGAAACAGACACACTTCTCATTCAGTCTCTCCCGCTGTGGGAGCACTGACATTCAACACTTCAAGTGCAGAAACTAAACCCACTTGTAAAATTGAAACAAAACTTTCTTACATATAGCTGTCTCTTTCCTGCTTCTCCCATCAGCTTGCCCAAAGAGAAACAGGAAGGGGCACTATCATTACGGACAAGGAAAAAAGTGTGCGTAAAGTGGCAAACACCACTTTGCCTGGCAATGTATCTCAAGACAAAACGATAAAATGTTTTTTTTTTTCAATTCTGGAAAGACAGTTTGTTTTATTATTACATGAGAATACACAGACCAGAAAACTCCAGCTAGCTTAAGAAATACACATGCTCTATTATTAATCCGAAACATTTATTATACTGCAATTATAGTAAGAGGCAAAGATATAGTTCCTACCATAGGGAGCATCCTAAAAATGTCCTCCGTGATGAGGATGGTCTTTTTATTGTCCACCTCATAACTCATGTTACTTCCCAGCGGGGTGTTGTTTTGAGAAGCAATAAAATTGTGTACTGCATCACAGCAGGATGCTAATTCTGACCTGCAAAACAAACAAATAAACAAAGAAAATCCACTCAAGGACAGGTAAATGAGTAAAAAAGAGGTGGTAGAGAACTAGGAGAATGAAAATCAGTTCTAATTAACTAAGTACCAAAAGGCTGCGTGAACCCTCTATAATTTTGTTTGCTTTGACTTGCTTTGTAGAGCAAGCCCATCTTAACAAAAAAGCTCATAAAATAAGCAGTCCAAGAACTCCTTCTCTTACCCTATTTTTCTCTCTTCCCTTTCCATCCAGAAAAAGTCAGAATCAGTTTTATCCTTATCTTGCCCATAATCAGTCTTATCCTTATTATCAACTGTTAAGATTAAGATTATCATTAGAAACACTGAGAGTCTTCAGCTAAAACCAACGTTAGGCTTTGTATAGACAACATGATTCAGTCCCCAAAAAATTAACAAACAGATTTCAATTAACACAGAATAAGTGACTGTAAGAAACCAAAAGGCTGAAGAAAGAAAGAACCAAGACATAAGGAATGGATGATGGGAAATACTGGCTATAGAGTTTAGCTTACCGAACAGGTAGATGGCTTAATTAATAATTCATAATAATTCATTTCTGCAAATGTTCAGTTTTGCTGCGCACAATATCACAGATTCTGAGTAAATTATAGGACAACTTGCAAAAGAAGACAGATACCCCCTCTGTGGCAAGGAGATAGCCTAGCAGCTACCCACAATACCCAGTGGAAGTGCCTAAAGAGATAGAGGGCAAGGAGTTCCTTCCTTTAAAGATTATGTAGGAGTAAAGTTATGTTACCTTCAAGCTTTATGTAAATATTATGTATGTAAATATCCTAGATTATTAAGAAAGAGTGAAATAAAAGGAAAAGCACCATGAGCCCTCTTTGAAATCAGAGCTGAAGGCCTACACTGCATTTTGCTTTAGGGAACGATGTTCTCTCTGCTACCACTGGATCCAATTTTCAAACTGTGAGGCTAAAACATTCATGGCCACTGGTTATTTATCACCTGACAGGACATACCTGTCTCATTAGATGAGACATTAAAAGAAACACTAAACATTTGGAGAAGAAAATTCATTGATCACAGAGTTGCCTGGAATTTTGAAAAAGATAACAGAGCAGGGAATAGATAATTTTTCCTTTCCTAACTCAGAAGGAATAATTTACAGGAACAGCCAGAGGAAAAGAAAAGCTTTATTTCAGACTTTTTTAGTGAGAAAGGTAAAAGAAAGCATTGGAATAAGTTAAACAATACAAGCTAAATTCCACCTGAAAGTAAGATGACTTTAAGAGGGTAAGACACAGGTAAGAACTTCATCAGCAATTTACATTGAGCTACTATTCCACTAAAGGAATGTTTTGTTTCTGGTGGAGATGATGCATGTTCTAGCACATGGAAGAATCCAAACGATGACGTTTTCTGGAAGACAGGGAAGATAATGAACAGGTCTGTGAGGATTCCAAACCTGACTTTTCTTTCGCGCATCATACTACATGTACAAATAACGGCCAAAATGGGGGAAAAATGTTCAGTAGGCAGTTCGTTAGATTCACGCACAAAAGACCAAAAGAAAGAGTACCATTTGAATTGTCAGATGGCTTTCTGGTACATACTGTTTCGAATACTGAGCTAAGGAACTCCTCAAGGACCCTCAGACAAAGTTTCCAGATATGTGAGGAATACTGGGAACGAGTGAGTTCTGGGATGGCATAGATTTTACATGATCTTACTAGGAAAATTATCAGGAAATGATAGCGGAAAATATTACTCATGAGAGAGTAAGCAGCATGGTTTAGTTTGTCCAAGCCATATTCCACTCCAGTCCCTGTACACGATTCCCATTGCTTGGCGCTCAGCCATAAGGGGTGCCTGGACAATAGGAAACACTAGGTACACAGGTGGGGATGGAACTGAGACTACTCTCACGTGGGTCAGGAGGTACCTAAATGATGAAAATAATTGCTCTAGGCATATATTATCCTATTTTAAATATATGGAAAAATACAGATCAAGCAATGAGGCAGGAAATTCCAATGAGTAAGTCTGGGAAGGCACTGGATGGTCTTGAATCATTCTTGACTAGAGTCCACTTGCTCTTCTGGATAACTTTTTGGTTTAACCAGTTCTTTTTAACTTTAATGATGTGCTGCAGCTACGGAAGTAAGAGAATTCAAAAATCTCTATCAGGGCCCTACCCGGAGGGTATTAACAGCCAGCCTCCCCCACCCCACTCAGCTGCAGCCTCCCTTTCAGTCCTGCACGGGGCCATCAGTCCCTGCCCCACGATGCAGCAGCGGTGCCTGGCTCCAAACCTGCCATGACCCTGCCTCTGGCTAGCCACGGGTCCCACTGACCCCTTCCCCAGCCCGGACCCATGGGCAACCGCCCAGCCCAGCCTCAGCCCATCCCCGTCCCTGTGGCAGTGCCCAATGCCCAGGGCTGGGGCTGTCCCTGATGCCCGGCTCCCTCGTGGGCAGAGGGGCGGTGGCTGCTGGCCAGATCACCGCAGGTGGATCCCAGCTCCCTTCCCGTAGGGAGCAGCCACCCCTTGATGCTCCCTGACAATCACATACAGACTACGAATCACAAAAATCGTAATTCTGAAATCCCTGATTTTTTTTTCCAAGTCAAACCAAGCAGGCCTAAATATTATCTGTAACAACTTCAGGACATGCAGAGTAGAAAGGAACAACCCCAGAATATCCCTGCCCAGTTTTCATAAAACGGAAGTGTCTGATAGCTACCAAAATCTGAAAAAGCAAACTGATGATAGATAGCATTAATTAATACAGATGATGCATTCTTTCTTTTTATTACTCGCTCCACGGGAATGAGTGCTTCAATAAAAGCAGAAACAGATTGAAGAAAAACAGATATCAGAATTCATAGGGAAGTAATAATTTTAAATATTATAATGGATCTGCTGAGGCAGTAAAATAAAGGCAGGCTAATTCAGAAACACAGTAAGGACAAGGAAATACATATTGATTAATGATATATATTCTTATGTTATCTAATAACATATGTGCTAAAGGCTTAGACATGCCAACAGCAACTTCTTACTTGCATCAAAGCATGACACAGAACTCCTCGGTGCCCAAGTATCGATGTACAAAGCTCTAGCTGCAATGTGTATAACCTGCAGACCGCAAAACCCACTGGAAAAATATTCAGCAATCTGTTCATGTAAGCTGTGACACAAGGTACCTCTACAATTGACAGCAAGCGATGAGAAATGGTTAGAGACTGGGTGGTTCAAGTAATTATTGCCACAATCATCATCTCTAGTGTTAATCTCATACGTGACCTCTATCACGAGGTAATGACACCCGAAAGAGCACACGCTTCATAAGCCTGAGACATGTACTGTAAAAATGGATTTTTTTTAACAAGTATGATATGTAAAGTGTTGCAAAGCCAAGACAGTATTTTAATTTGTGTATTATTCCATCTGGCAAGAGAGAAACCAGTAAAAGCTACAATACAAAACACTTCCTAACCAGATGGTGAGATAAGAGACAAGCGTCAGAATCATAACAGCATCAAACGGTACTACCTTAAAGTCAAACTCTGAATGTCCTTTGAAAGGATGGAAAGTGATCCACGTTGCCTGTGGAGTTCTGCCCAGGAGAAAATGTTGAGATATAGGGCAGCTCTTGGAAGATGAGATGTTGCTAAATAGGCTAAGCATACAGCTCCGATAAGTGTAAGAACATTGAAATGTTTTATGGTGAGAAGGTTTAAGTTCGCATCATTAACAGAGCTGCTAAACATCTGGGTTGCTCTAGAACAAAGCATTTTTAAGATCCAGCCACACCATTAGAAGTCTAGTGTGAAGGAAGGCGGAGTGAAAGGACCTAACATTTGGAGGACCCAAGGTTGAGCAAGTACCTCCTTTAGGCTGCAGGCTGGCATTGCCAATTTCTTATCTGGGGAGGCGTGCCTTCCTGCAGCATTTCTCCTGCAAGCAGCTGGAAGTGGACTGAGACTTCAGAGCTCTTTTTAAATTCTAGGAATAACATCAACCAGATATTTCTTGTACCAAGACAAGCAAAAGGGAGCTGACTGCATTATCTGGAAGTTTCACTTGTAACAAATAAGGAACAAAATCAGTGTAACAAGATTATTCCATTTGGACTGCTCATATGTACTTTATAAAACTGAATGAGTACAGTCATGATAATCCTAATCAATAAATTAACTGTAGCAGTATACTCCTTTTGCCCAAGAAGCTTTATTCATATTAAAGACAACAGATAGTTATTGTTGCACTGGAGAAGGTATTTTGTTGACTAGCAGATGCTTTTGCTGAATTTCTTCCTTCTTGGAACAACTACCATGGCCCCAGCTCTCTGCTGAGACCAGCTAGGATGGAACTCGGAGGACCCATGGCATCCAAACAATTTCTTCAGGTTTGCAGGTGCTGAGAACCTAAGAAAATCCTGTTTTCTCAAGAAGGTCGTCCAAACATTGAGACAACCAAAAGCAATAATGATGTTTTCAGATATTGGACTGGTTGTATAGATTGACCCTTGGGCAGTAACACAGAACTGCTGCCTTGAACGTACCTGTTTTCAAAACCCTTTGCACAATGCAAAACCTTTACATGAAAAATCTACACTAGTTCAGTGGAAGTCAGCTGTGTAAGTATCTGCAGGATCTAAATACGCTGATGTAGTTTCTCTGAAGTTTCTGTAGCAGCTGTGTAGCCATGAAGCTATTATATCCCTCCTGGCAGCAAAGTCAATTAGCTCATCTTGGTTCCACACCAGTATAGATACATATCTTTCGGTCGGTTCAGAGCTTGGGCACAGCCTGCTCACACCTGCTGACAAGACACAACGTACACACATCTTGAGGAGAGTGCAGACCTCTCAGCACCTTCCTTCCAACAACTGAACGTGAACCGCCCATAAGGGTTAAAGCAGTCAGTGGTTAGCCAAGGGCTAGCAGAGCTCCTTGGTTGGTCCAAAAGCCAGTGCAGTCTTTATCCCAAGTGGGATGTGAAGAATC